CCAAGAAAAAAGGAATTTTTTTCTGGTGTTACATGTTAGGCTAGTGATCACCCCTGAAGGGAAGACAATGACTGTGAAGTCTGAGATGTTGGTCATGTTCTCTATTGATCTTGAGAATTTTTTACACTAGTGTGTTGAATTTGTTAAAAAAAAATGTCTTTTCATGTAGGGGGTGGAACTCGGGACCTCACATATGCTAGGCAAACTACTGAGCTATATGTCCCAGCCTTTTAATTTTTTTTTTTAATGGAAGGGTCTTGCTAAATTGTGGAGGCTGACCTTGAAATTTCTTTTTGGTACTGGTAATTGAGACCAGGGTTGAATTACCACTGATATACATCCTCAGCCCACCCTCACCCCCTTTTAAAATTTTGAGACAGAGAGTCTTCCTAATTTACTTAGGGTCTTACTAAATTGCTGAATCTGGCCTCAAACCTACAATCCTCCTGCCTCAGCCTCCCTTATCACTGGGTTACAAGCCAGTGCCACTGGGTCCTGTTTGGCCTTGAATTTGTAATCCTCCTGTCTCAGGTTATGGAGTAACTGAGATTACAGGAATGTACCCCCCATGTCTTGCTCGTTTGTAAAACTTTATGATGTGCGTAGTTTCTGTATGCATTCTGTACATACCAATAAAAGCTTTAAAAGGAATACAAAAATATTCAGGTGCATGGGCGCAGTCCTATATTCTCTTAGTGACTTGGGAGAATGGCACAGGTAGATATCAAGTTTGAGGTCAGCTTTGGCAACATAGTAAGAACCTGTCTCAAAAAAGGATTAGGAAAGTAGAGATGTAGTTTAGTTGTAAATTGCCCCATGTTCCATCCCAATAAACACACACACACACATACACACACATTATGTACTGGTGTGAAGATGTAAAAAAAGGCAACTATGAATCAACATTTCCATCTGCACACAAAGTGGGAAAACATCTCTTTTCTCTTTCTATCTGTCTCTGTCTCTGTCTCTCTCTCTCTTTGGGGGGGGGTACTGGGGATTGAACCACAGCCACATCCCCAGCTCTTTTTATTTCTTATGTTGATACAGGGTCTCACTAAATTGCTTAGGTCCTCGCTAAATTACTGAGGCTAGTTTTAAACTTGTGATCTTCCTGCCTTAGCCTTCAGATCTACTGGAATTACAGTACGCACCACTGCACCCAGCTGTATTTTCTCTTATATGAGTATCATATTTTTGGAAGGATGCTCAAGAAACTGACAAAATTGGTTGTCTGTGAGGAAAGTTTCATAACAAGGTTAAAGATTTTCACTGCTTATTGGTTCACTTTTTATTTCATTTTTACTTTTTTTTGTGGGGGGCAGGATGCTCAGATTGAAACAAGGACATTATGCATGCTAGGCAAGAATTGTACTACTGAACACACCAAGTCTACATTTTAGATTTCAAATTATGTGGATTTTAAGCAACAACAACAACAAAACACTCAAATTAAAAATAAATATATAAAATCAATGAGTCTAGGGAATACTCAGAAGTATTTGGAAGGAAGGTAAATTAGGAAAAAGCCTTCAGAGATCATATATTGAAAGTACATTTTAAAACTTTGTGGTGGGGAAGTAGGGATCACAGAGAATGTTTGAATCTTCTCAAACTGGACAGATAGAAGCTTTCCTTTATGCTAATAACTTTTTTTTTTATTTTTTTTTTATTTTTTAAATATTTATTTATTTATTTTTTTWAAAGTTTTCGGCGGACACAACATCTTTGTTTGTATGTGGTGCTGAGGATCGAACCCGGGCCGCACGCATGCCAGGTGAGCGCGCTACCGCTTGAGCCACATCCCCAGCCCCTATGCTAATAACTTTAGCCATGATTTAAGAACTAGTCATAGCCAGGAGTGGTGGCACCTGCCTGTAATCCAGCAGCTCAGGAGGTTGACACAGGATGGAATGTTCAAATMMAGCCTTAGCAGTTTAGCCAGGCTCTAAGCAAATTAGCAAGATCCTGTCTCAAAACAAAAAGTGGTGGAATGTGATTCAGTTGTTAAGCACCTCTGGGTTTAATCCCTGGTACAAAAAATAAAAAAATAATTTGTTTTCTCACAAAAATACACTAGTCACAAATTGGTTTCATTCTTCAAAATGGTATTTATTAGGTTAACATATACTATTTATAACAAGTAAGACAATTCAAAGACATATACAGGAAAAGATAACGCTCCCTTTCAACCTCTTCTCTTTGTCCATTGAGATATCTACTATGATGTGTTTTGGGTAAATTCTTATACCCCTTTCTATGTCCTCATGAATATACATTACTATCTTCAGTTATACACTAACTGAAACAAACCACTTTCATATCATTCTGTAATTGTAAAAGTTTTCCACTTTGATCCCTCCAGGTCAAAAGCAAAACAAAACAAAACAAAAACAGATCTGGCTCATTTTCAGCATGGTATAATATTCTACAATATGAAGTACTAAAATTAAATCATTAATTGACAAATGGGTTGTTCCCAGTCTATTTATATTTGTTATCCCTTTCAAACAATTATATAATAAGCATATGTATCCATTTTCTGTCTAGCTGAACAAATTACTATAAACTTTATGGCTTAAATAAATAGAAACTTATGCCTGGTGTGGTGGCACATACCTGTAATCCCAGAGACTCCGGAGGTTTAGTCAGGAGGATCAAGAGTTCAAAGACAGCCTCAGCAACTTAGTGAGGCCTTGAGCAACTCAGTAAGACCTTGTCTCTAAATAAAATATAAAAAAGGGCTGGGAGTGTGGCTCAGTGGTTAAAAACCCCTGGGTTCAATCCCTAGTACCAAACAGAAAGAAATAGAAATTTATTTTCTCRTAGTTCTCAAGTCCAAAGGTGATATCAAGTTATATGCAACATAGGTTACTTTTAGAAAATACCTTCCCCTCCCACTTCTTTGCAGTGCTGGGGATTGAATCCAGGGTCTTGTGCCTTCTGGAAGGTTGGTTCTTCTAAAGAAGATCTGTTTCAGTCTCCTCTCCTAGTTTCTGGCTGCCAATAATCCTTTGTGTTCTTTGGCTTGTAGACATAATTTTCCAACCTCTACTTCCTTCTTCATATCATCTTCCTTATTTGTGTCAAATCTTCCCCTGCCTTTCTTTTATAAAGATACCTATCATTGGGATCAGACCCATCCTAAATCCAGTATGATCTCATCCCAAGATCCTTAACTTAATTACATCTGCAAACATCCTTTCTCCAAATAAGGTCATGATCACAGCTTTCATATGGATGTATCTTTCCTGCATGCACTTAACTAAACACCATATCATTTCTGTGTACAATCTTCCAACTTGTAATTTCTGTAGTTTTATAGGGGGCAGGATTGATGGATTTTTGGGTCAATGTGTACGTTAAATTTTAACACATATTTATAAGTTACTTCTAGGAAGTTTGTGGCAACTTACATTTCCATCTGAGATGCACTAACTTTGTTTTCCCATGTTTCATTGATTATTCTTGTTAAGGTTTGCCAATCTGATGAGTGAAAAATGGATGTTTTTAATTTGCTTTCCCATAACTATTCCTGAAATTAAGCATCTTTTTCTAATGACCATTTGGATTTTCTCTTCCATTAACCCTCTATTTGTATACTTCACCTGTACTTTTAAAATATTATTTGGTTTTTAAAAAGTTCATTTATAGAAACTCCCTTTTATGCCAGAGAAACAATGTGTTTGCCATGTTATGTCCAGTTCTATTCCATCTATTGTTTTTTTTTCTTCTTTAAAAAACTTACTCTGATGTCATATTTATGTAGACAAATGTTTTTATTTTTTTCTTTAATGATTCTGGGCTTCCTGTCTTGCTTCAAGTTTCCGCCTCACTGAAGTTATATTACTATCCTTTCAAAAATTTCCTCTTAAGTTTTTGTTATGCAGTGTGTGTGCATGTGTGTGTGTGTGTGTGTGTGTGTGTGCATGCGTGGGCACACACACACACACACACACACACACACACACACTGGGGATCAAACCCAGGGCCTCAGACATGCTAAACACTCTACCACTGAGTTATATCCTTAGCCTGTTTTGAAAAATTTTGTATCTTTAATTCTTCTGGAATTTATTTTTGAATATGGCATAGGTCTTGCTTTGAATTATTGTGAGTGGAGAGTGAGTTAAAACTATGATCATTTATCAAACTATTCTTTCATCACTGAACTAACTTGTCACCTTTGCTTTATATTAAGTTCTACTTCTAGATTCTATCCCAGACTGTTCGCTTGAGGTATTATTGTAGCATTAGGCTGCAATAGCTATAACGCAGTGGCTTTACAATATGTTAAAATTTCAAGTGTCTTACTGAAGAAAGGACTATGCAATTTCCTGGTTGTGATCAAAGGCACAACAGGGAGATAAGGCAGGCAAAAGGGTTGGGTAAAGTGTAAGGCGCTGCAAACGAATAGTTAGGTGTGTATAGGAACACAGAGAAAGAATCTTGGGCTGGAAAGGCTACACCATTCCACTTAAATGACTATTAACAGTACAGAGACTGAAGGGTCAAGTTGTGAAGCAGCCCACCTAGCGCCCCTCATCCCCAGAAATGGAGTGACCAACAGAGAGGGTGGAGGGAGGTGGAGAAGCAAAGTCTAGTGTTCAAGAACCAAGAAGTCCGTTCTGCATCAGCAGAACGAACAAGATTGGGGAGAAGGGCTGGGAAGAGGCCAGCGAGGAGCCTAGGAGCAGAAGGGTCTCTGGGGAAGGGGCTACCAAGGCCAGGGCATGGGCTGGGTCTCTCCAAAAGACGGCTTGTCGGGGACTCTGCATACCGCAGTCCGCCGTGAGCCGCAGAGAGGCGGCGCAGCAGCCAGTCAGCCCTGCGGACAGACGCGGAGGCGGCCGGCTGTGCGCCTCCCTCCCGCGGCGCCCGGGATTGGCCTGAGCGCCGCGCGCCGGGCGGGGGCTGCCGGGAGGCCCGCCTGGGAGGCGAGCGCGCGCGCACGCGCAAGCGCGGGCACGGCGGCGGCGCGCGCGTGCTCTGTGGGGCGGTGCGGCTGCTGCTGCGGAGCGGGCCATGGCAGTGGGCGGCAGGCGGGTGTAGAGCTGCGCTGGGCAGGCGGGAGCTGACTGAAAGGAGCMGAGATGGGAGCGCCGGAGCGAGGAGGTCGCGGCGGCTTGGGCTGCTAACCGCGCACCGGGAGCGGGAGCCGGCGGTGTAGGAGCACCGGGCAGGTGAGCGCGGCGGCACGGGACCCGGATGCGGCGCRGCTGAGGGGTGGCAGGGTCCCGGCGGCCGGCTGAGGTGCCCCCGCGCGGGCCGGAGAGTCGCTCCTGCTGCGCTGCCTGTGGCGCTGGCGACTCCGGTGCCAGCGCCGCGCTTCCTGCCCGCGCGGAGAACACCCGCCCGCCAGCCGGCGGGGACGCCTCGCTAGGCTGCGGCCCGCCCGGGGCTCTCCAAGGTGAGCGGCGCCCCCAGGCCTCCGGGCGGTGGAGACGCGGCCGGGCGCCCGGGCCGSGGGCGCTTTCGGCCCCGCTCCTGAGGGGCGCGGGTGCGGAGTGGCGTCGTACGGGTCCCTGGCGTCTCTGCGGACACATCCGGAGCTTCCCGACTCTCAGGTGCCTTTTTGCGCAGAAGTGTATTTTAGGGGCGGGGATCCTGGACTCTGGGGTTCAGGACGGGACGTGTTTTAGAATCGCAGCGTCGCCACGGACSGGTCCTGGGACCTGGGGCCAAATGTCCTGATTTCCTAATTGAGAATAATAATATGGACTTGTTAGATTGTCGAGGGGGAGGCATAACCCAACAGTAATCGCTCGGTGAATGGTAGCTGTTAGGAGAGTCCTGCTGCAGCATCTCTTGTTAGCAATTGCCAGTTCTTGGCAGCGGGTTTGCGTTTGGGGGCACATTTACTTCCGAACTGCTCTAGTGCTGCAGTAACCTCAACTGGAGTTGCTTAATGCTGGAGCCTCTTATCTTAGTGGCCGAAGTAGAATTCTGTGGTTTCTTCCAAGAGTCTGTAGTCTCTTGGAAAAGGTGGCTTGGAAACCTGTCTTAGAAACCGGGTAGAAACTGCTGCTGTAAGGAAACCAGGTGAATTCAGGATTTGCTTAGGATGGAAGATGGTGGGACACATAAACTTTAAGGGCTTTGCTGTTTAAATAATCTTRAGAGACACTTAAACTCTTGTCACTTGTTACAGAATATAAACACAGGAAGAGTATGGAAACAGCCTTCTTTTTCTGCATTGCTACATCCGAAGGGAGTGACAAGTGCTTTTGTAAACATCATTGTGGGCAGTGTTACTGTCTGGTGAAGTCATAATTAAATTATAAGAGTACTTATTTTGAAGCACAGAATGGATGTTTGGACATATGATTCCTAATAAAATCATCTCCAACGAGTCAGTTCTCAGCAGTTTGTTAATCATTTGGGGATTTTTAGGTTACGTTGTAAGCTTTTATGGTAAAAGCAGAACTGTGTAAGTGGTAATAATGTAGCATAGGAAAGGGTTGTCAGGATAAGGATCTGAACCTAGTTTTAGAACCCAAGTATGAAATAAAGTAAAAATCTTAAGGCTTAAGAAAGGAATTGTGCTGGAGTTGTGGCTCTGGCCTGTAAACCCCAGCAGTCTGGCAGGTGGAGACAAGACAATTTCAAGTTGGAGGCCAGCTTCAGCAATTTAGTGGGACCCTGTCTCAAGAAATAAAGAGGGAATGTAGCTCAGTGGTAAAGTGCCCCTGAGTATCAAGAAAGGAAGGCAGGGGGTGGGATTGTGTTTRTTTTATGCACTGGGGACCTAACCTAGCACCTTATTCAAGTACGGCAAGTGCTCTGCCACTGAGCCACATCCCCAGCCCTGAAACTGGAATTGTATTCACCCAAAGCAAAATGATTTAGGAAATGGAAGGCGATCCTCAGGGTTATACAAAATGACATATAAGAGGAAAGGAGGGGTAAGACAAGATAATACAAATGGAAGAAA